CTATTTACATATTTGACAAGAATGCAGAGGCTCCTTTTGCCCCTGAAAAAAATCAAATTTCAAACACAACTTGACTGGTCATTTCTCCAAAAGACAACCATGAAGCTCCATCCAAACCTGAAGCAGGCAGTTGGTGCATGTGTACAGTAACCTGAGGGGAGTGAGGTGAGTGCTTCTGAGGAGAACATGAGCAGTGAAGATTCACCTTGGAGCTAGAACAGAGACATGCACATGATTATACAGGGGCAGGGGCTCAAGTTTTTTCCAGTCGTTTATACAATATGGAAATTAATGTGAAATTAAAACACAAAGTATTAATAGAAAGGTAATGACTGTCCTGTGTAGGTGACAGTGATATCCAATAGGCTAGGCACTCACGAGGCTGGCTGTGGCAAGTGTAAGTGAAAGCAACACGCACTGGCAGGAAGAACAGCAAACGCCGATGAAGGAAAAGGGTCTTTGCAGTGATGGGCGTTAACAGAGAGGGCGATGGCCAGAGGACACAAATGGGACGGGGAGGCAGCACGTTGGGGGGGGGGGGGGGGAGACGCGACACGGCTCGGGCCCGCCAGTGCCCCAACGGGGTCCTAGTTTCTTCTTTTTCCTCCCCTTTGAACTGGAAAATGGCCCACTTCCCACTGGCGAAAACTCATGAAATTTGGCAGGACGACCGGGCCTGGTGAAAAATTCGATATTCTGAAGTCGCCCAAACAATAAAATGCAAAATGGCTCCATAGCGCCCCCTAAGGTGGAAATTCACACTATTGACTGTCACGCCTGTACGCTTTGTCATATTGACACAAAAATTGACACACATATGTATCTCAATAAGATCTACAAAAAAGTCAGTGCGGCCGTATCTGTCAAATGTACGGTTAAAGGGTTATTTCGCATTTTTTGCCGATCCGCACACATTGGAATTTCGCTAACTCCTCCGAAGGCTTTCGTTCCACCGGCACCACATTTGCTCAGGCCAATCTACACCCCGTGGCCATTAAAAGTTATTAAAATCATGACGCTGCACCCCAAGGTTTAGGTTCTAGGGGGCGCCAAAGATAACACTAAAATCCACATATTTAAAAGTCTTATAACTTTTTATTTTTGTCCTCACTGGCCTCCAAGTTTTCTAGGATGATGCAATGTCCAGCCATCAACACATTTGTGAAGGAATTTTTACTCCCCAAAAGAGCGCCCCCCCATGGCAGGAGAAAAAAGTCCATTTTTTCTTGTCCCCTAAGGTGAAAATACACATTGTTGAGTGTCACGCCTATACGCTTTGTCAAAATGACACAAAAATTGACACACACATGTAACTCAATAAGATCTACGAAAAAGTCCATGCGCGCGTATCTGTCAAATGTACAGTTAAAGGGTTATTCCGCATTTTTTGCCGATCCGCACACATTGGAATGTGGCTAACTCCTCCTAAGGCTTTCGTTCCACCGGCACCACATTTGCTCAGGCCAATCTACACCCCATGGCCATTAAAAGTTATTCAAATCATGACGCTGCACCCCACGGTTTAGGTTCTAGGGGGCGCCAAAGATAACCCTAAAATCCACATATTTAAAAGTCTTATAACTTTTTATTTTTGTCCTCACTGGCCTCCAAGTTTTCTAGGATGATGCAATGTCCAGCCATCAACACATGTGAAGGAATTTTTACTCCCCAAAAGAGCGCCCCCCCATGGCAGGAGAAAAAAGTCCATTTTTTCTTGTCCCCTAAGGTGAAAATACATATTGTTGAGATTCACGCCTATACGCTTTGTCATATTGACACAAAATTTGACAATCACGTGCCTTGCCTGGTATCATTTTTTTCAGCACAACCTCACCTGTGCGAATTTACAGTTATTTTATCATGTTGACATACTGAATTTACACAATGGACCCAAATTCACACACAAAACATAAAATCCGAGTGGAAAAAAGTAACATTTTTACTGTGAAAACCACAAATATGTGTGATGAACTGTTTTTAAAACTTAAACTTCAAATAAAAATTATAAACTTCAAAACATATGCAAATTTTTAACAAAGAACATAGTGATTTACCTCTATTTTCATCAAAATGCAGGCAATGGCCCAGGCGTTCTTTGTAAAATTATTTACAAAACACTGTATAGTCTCACAAATGTCACTTTTTATTTATGCCACTACAAAAAAACATGATGTAAATGATGCATGATGTAAAACATGATGTAAAAAACTTGTGTAGATCCTCCTCTATGTCAGTCCATGTGTAATTTTTCCATAATTCTTTGTTTTTTGCAGCATTTTTGTTAGTGTAACTGCAGATTGTGCTGACAGTGTCTATGGCACAAAAAAAAAAAATTAAAATGCCTCAACATGAACCCCTGGTGGTCTCTGAGGGTGAAACCTGCTAACTGCTGCAGCTCTGTCAGCTTCAGTCTCCCATGCAGAGCTCTGAGCGCATGTGTGGCTCTGCACCCTTAGCAGCGTTGCTAACTCCTCAGTAAGGAAAGCCTGCTTCATGTCAGAGTCTCTAAACTCCAGAAGAAGTCGATAAAAGTCCCTTTCTTTCTAAAAAAAAGTCGTTAGGGGGTCTGAAAAGTCATTGAATCTAACAACAAAGTCGCTAGGTTTGCAACTACGTGTCCCAGACTGCATCCCTGCTGAGAGTCCCTCCCTCCCTTCTCATGTTGCAGGAAGAACGTAAGCGCCCGCCCCTTGTCAATCAGTCACCATATAATTTTGGATTGGTTGTTGTGAAGTTTTCCACCAATAGGAGAGATGTTGTGGTGTGTTTTTTTTTTCTTTTGGCAAGCCTTTTCCGCCTGTAAGACCTGTCGCTAATGTCTGCATGCTATGTTTTCCTGTCTCATACAGCGCGATCGAGCGCCGAACGTGATCAAAATAAGCAGAAAAAAAGTATCGCGGACATAATTTATCATAACTCTGGTTTTATTTGGCCTATCAACACAATTTAAAAACTGGTATATAGGTTGAGGTCCTCACTTTTGAGATAAGTTGAAACGGAGAGTCAACGAGGCTCCGTCTTGCAGCTACATCCGATTAAATATGTCATGTGACTTGAACGCACACACAGACACACACACACGCACACACACACACACACACACACACACACACTCAGAGTCTGGTTTTTAGCACCTGCAAAAACATGCTATTTACATATTTGACAAGAATGCAGAGGCTCCTTTTGCCCCTGAAAAAAATCAAATTTCAAACACAACTTGACTGGTCATTTCTCCAAAAGACAACCATGAAGCTCCATCCAAACCTGAAGCAGGCAGTTGGTGCATGTGTACAGTAACCTGAGGGGAGTGAGGTGAGTGCTTCTGAGGAGAACATGAGCAGTGAAGATTCACCTTGGAGCTAGAACAGAGACATGCACATGATTATACAGGGGCAGGGGCTCAAGTTTTTTCCAGTCGTTTATACAATATGGAAATTAATGTGAAATTTAAACACAAAGTATTAATAGAAAGGTAATGACTGTCCTGTGTAGGTGACAGTGATATCCAATAGGCTAGGCACTCACGAGGCTGGCTGTGGCAAGTGTAAGTGAAAGCAACACGCACTGGCAGGAAGAACAGCAAACGCCGATGAAGGAAAAGGGTCTTTGCAGTGATGGGCGTTACCAGAGAGGGCGATGGCCAGAGGACACAAATGGGACGGGGAGGCAGCACGTTATTATTGCCCCAACGGGGTCCTAGTTAGGGCCCGAGCGTAGGCCAGCAGCTGGTGGTTTTTCTTTGTTTCTTTCTTTCTTTTTTCTTTTTTTCCTCCCCTTTGAACTGGAAAATGGCCCACTTCCCACTGGCGAAAACTCATGAAATTTGGCAGGACGACCGGGCCTGGTGAAAAATTCGATATTCTGAAGTCGCCCAAACAATAAAATGCAAAATGGCTCCATAGCGCCCCCTAAGGTGAAAATTCACACTATTGACTGTCACGCCTGTACGCTTTGTCATATTGACACAAAAATTGACACACACATGTATCTCAATAAGATCTACAAAAAAGTCAGTGCGGCGTATCTGTCAAAATTACGGTTAAAGGGTTATTTCGCATTTTTTGCCGATCCGCACACATTGGAATTTCGCTAACTCCTCCGAAGGCTTTCGTTCCACCGGCACCACATTTGCTCAGGCCAATCTACACCCCATGGCCATTAAAAGTTATCACAAATCATGACGCTGCACCCCAAGGTTTAGGTTCTAGGGGGCGCCAAAGATAACCCTAAAATCCACATATTTAAAAGTCTTATAACTTTTTATTTTTGTCCTCACTGGCCTCCAAGTTTTCTAGGATGATGCAATGTCCAGCCATCAACACATTTGTGAAGGAATTTTTACTCCCCAAAAGAGCGCCCCCCCATGGCAGGAGAAAAAAGTCCATTTTTTCTTGTCCCCTAAGGTGAAAATACACATTGTTGAGTGTCACGCCTATACGCTTTGTCAAAATGACACAAAAATTGACACACACATGTATCTCAATAAGATCTACGAAAAAGTCAATGCGCGCGTATCTGTAAAATGTACGGTTAAAGGGCTATTTCGCATTTTTTGCCGATTCCGCACACATTGGAATTTCGCTAACTCCTCCGAAGGCTTTCGTTCCACCGGCACCACATTTGCTCAGGCCAAATTACACCCCATGGCCATTAAAAGTTATTCAAATCATGACGCTGCACCCCACGGTTTACGTTCTAGGGGGCGCCAAAGATAACCCAAAAATCCACATTTTTAAAAGTCTTTTAACTTTTTATTTTTGTCCTCACTGGCCTCCAAGTTTTCTAGGATGATGCAATGTCCAGCCATCAACACATTTGTGAAGGAATTTTTACTCCCTAAAAGAGCGCCCCCCCATGGCAGGAGAAAAAGTCCATTTTTTCTTGTCCCCTAAGGTGAAAATACACATTGTTGACTGTCACGCCTGTACGCTTTGGCAAAATGACACAAAAATTGACAATCATGTGTATCTCAATTAGATCTACGAAAAAGTCAAAAAGCGCGTATCTGTATAATGTATGGTAAAAGGGCTATTTTGCATTTTTTGCCAATTCGCACACATTGGAATTTCGCTAACTCCTCCTAAGGCCTTCGTCCCACTGACACCAAATTTGCTCAGGCCAATCTACACTCCATGGCCATTCAAAGTTGTAAAAATCATGACGCTGCACCCCACGGTTTACGTTTTAGGGGGCGCCAAAGATGACCCAAATATACATTACAGTAGACAAAGTAGTTTTGCCCACTGAGTGGCGCCAAAGGGACTTGTCTGTGGAGTCTGTGAGTCACTATTGGCCGTTTTTGACTACTTTAGATTTTACCTTTATATTTCCTCTTACAAAATTTTTACCTTGCCTTGCCTGGTATCATTTTTTTCAGCACAACCTCACCTGTGTCAATTTACAGTTATTTTATCATTTTGACATACTATATTTACACATTGGACCCAAATTCACACACAAAACATAAAATCCGAGTGGAAAAAAGTAACGTTTTTACTGTGAAAACCACAAATATGTGTGATGAACTGTTTTTAAAACTTAAACTTCAAATAAAAATTGTAAACTTCAAAACATATGCAAATTTTTAACAAAGAACATAGAAATTTACCTCTATTGACATCAAAATGCAGGCAATGGCCCAGGTGTTCTTTGTAAAATTATTTACAAAACACTGTATAGTCTCACAAATGTCACTTTTTATTTATGCCACTACAAAAAAACATGATGTAAATGATGCATGATGTAAAACATGATGTAAAAAACTTGTGTAGATCCTCCTCTATGTTAGTCCATGTGTAATTTTTCCATAATTCTTTGTTTTTTGCAGCATTTTTGTTAGTGTAACTGCAGATTGTGCTGACAGTGTCTATGGCAAAAAAAAAAAAAAAAACTGAAAATGCCTCAACATGAACCCCTGGTGGTCTCTGAGGGTGAAACCTGCTAACTGCTGCAGCTCTGTCAGCTTCAGTCTCCCATGCAGAGCTCGGAGCGCATGTGTGGCTCTGCACCCTTAGCAGTGTTGCTAACTCCTCAGTAAGGAAAGCCTGCTTCATGTCAGAGTCTCTAAACTCCAGAAGAAGTCGATAAAAGTCACTTTCTTTCTAAAAAAAGTCGTTAGGGGGTCTGAAAAGTCATTGAATCTAACAACAAAGTCGCTAGGTTTGCAACTACGTGTCCCAGACTGCATCCCTGCTGAGAGTCCCTCCCTCCCTTCTCATATTGCAGGAAGAACGTAAGTTCCCGCCCCTTGTCAATCAGTCACCATATAATTTTGGATTGGTTGTTGTGGTGAAGTTTTCCACCAATAGGAGAGATGTTGTGGTGTGTTTTTTTTTCCTTTGGCAAGCCTTTTCCGCCTGTAAGACCTGTCGCTAATGTCTGCATGCTATGTTTTCCTGTCTCATACAGCGCGATCGAGCGCCGAACGTGATCAAAATAAGCAGAAAACAAGTATCGCGGACATAATTTATCATAACTCTGGTTTTATTTGGCCTATCAACACAATTTAAAAACTGGTATATAGGTTGAGGTCCTCACTTTTGAGATAAATTGAAACGGAGAGTCAACGAGGCTCCGTCTTGCAGCTACATCCGGTTAAATATGTCATGTGACTTGAACGCACACACACACACACACACACACACACACACACAGACACACACACACACGCACACACACACACTCAGAGTCTGGTTTTTAGCACCTGCAAAAACATGCTATTTACATATTTGACAAGAATGCAGAGGCTCCTTTTGCCCCTGAAAAAAATCAAATTTCAAACACAACTTGACTGGTCATTTCTCCAAAAGACAACCATGAAGCTCCATCCAAACCTGAAGCAGGCAGTTGGTGCATGTGTACAGTAACCTGAGGGGAGTGAGGTGACTGCTTCTGAGGAGAACATGAGCAGTGAAGATTCACCTTAGAGCTAGAACAGAGACGTGCACATGATTATACAGGGGCAGGGGCTCAAGTTTTTTCCAGTTGTTTATACAATATGGAAATTAATGTGAAATTAAAAAACAAAGTATTAATAGAAAGGTAATGACTGTCCTGTGTAGGTGACAGTGATATCCAATAGGCTAGGCACTCACGAGGCTGGCTGTGGCAAGTGTAAGTGAAAGCAACACGCACTGGCAGGAAGAGCAGCAAACGCCGATGAAGGAAAAGGGTCTTTGCAGTGATGGGCGTTACCAGAGAGGGCGACGGCCAGAGGACGCGAATGGGATGGGGAGGCAGCGCGTTGGGGGGGGGGGACGCGACACAGCTCGGGCCCGCCAGTGCCCCAACGGGGTCCTAGTTATTTTTCCTCCCCTTTGAACTGGAAAATGGCCCACTTCCCACTGGCGAAAACTCATGAAATTTGGCAGGACGACCGGGCCTGGTGAAAAATTTGATATTCCGAAGTCGCCCAAACAAGAAAATGCAAAATGGCTCCATAGCGCCCCCTAAGGTGAAAATTCACACTATTGACTGTCACGCCTGTACGCTTTGTCAAAATGACACAAAAATTGACACACACATGTATCTCAATAAGATCTACAAAAAAGTCAGTGCGGGCGTATCTGTCAAATGTACGGTTAAAGGGTTATTTCGCATTTTTTGCCGATCCGCACACATTGGAATTTCGCTAACTCCTCCGAAGGCTTTCGTTCCACCAGCACCACATTTGCTCAGGCCAATCTACACCCCATGGCCATTAAAAGTTATTCAAATCATGACGCTGCACCCCACGGTTTAGGTTCTAGGGGGCGCCAAAGATAACCCTAAGATCCACATATTTAAAAGTCTTATAACTTTTTATTTTTGCCCTCACTGGCCTCCAAGTTTTCTAGGATGATGCAATGTCCAGCCATCAACACATTTGTGAAGGAATTTTTACTCCCCAAAAGAGCGCCCCCCCATGGCAGGAGAAAAAAGTCCATTTTTTCTTGTCGCCTAAGGTGAAAATTCACATTGTTGAGTGTGACACCTGTACGCTTTGTCATATTGACACAAAATTTGACACACACGTGTATCTCAATAAGATCTACGAAAAAGTCAATGCGGGCGTATCTGTCAAATGTACGGTTAAAGGGCTATTTCGCATTTTTTGGTGATTCGCACACATTGGAATGTGGCTAACTCCTCCTAAAGCTTTCGTTTAACCAGCACCAAATTTGCTCAGGCCAATCTACACCCCATGGCCATTTAAAGTTGTAAACATCATGACGCTGCACCCCACGGTTTACGTTCTAGGGGGCGCCAAAGATGACCCAAATATCCACATTCTTAAAAGTCTCATAACTTTTTATTTTTGTCCTCACTGGCCTCCAAGTTTTCTAGGATGATGCAATCTCCAGCCATCAACAAATTTGTGAAGGAATTCTTTCTCCCCAAAAGAGCGCCCCCCCATGGCAGGAGAAAAAGTCAAGTTTTTCCTGCCCATCGCTCAATGGCTTAAACGCATCGCTCTCCCGCTAAAACCAAAAGGAGGAGCCACTTGCCATTTGGATACATCATAGCTGTGTTTGTGCCCTCACTCATGGTCCAGACTTTTTTCAAATTGGACATGTAGTTTGTCTGCAGCGACCATTTTGGTAGAAACTGCGCCTCCCATTCATTATAATGGGAAATGACCAAAGACAGGTGCGCACACCATCTTTGGACCTTGACTGTGACGTCACATTTTGAGATACAAATGTTATTTGACCTCTGACCTTTGGTGGAGACCCTAACCTTTCAACCTGCGAAAACAGCATTTCAATAGCTCTTACGGCTTTCCTACAAATACACTTTGTTCGGCTGCTCCTCCTGTCTTTCAAGCTCTGGTCCATAGATCATCAAAGAGTGTGCACGTGTGTAATGAGCGCATATTGAAAGTTAATTATGTTAACTATGTTACTTATTAGAAGAAATAACAACAACAGTCTTTTTGGACAAAATTTCTTTTTATTACAGAATTAGAATAATGGAAGCATAGTCCAAGGAAACCATTCAAGTGATGTCATACCTCATAATTTATTAAGATGTTGGCAAGTGTGGGCATTTCTTCATTCATCAGGTTTCCTGCATGCTTACTAACAGAGCACATCAGTAACAGTGAATGATAAGCATGAGTGTGTCATTGTGTAAGAAAAGAAAGTGGTTTACTTAAACATCCATAGAAAATAGGAGCACAGCACGCAAACAAAGCTTTGCCACGACGGTGGGACTTCCCAAGTAGCCTATACCAAGGTCACACAATCATGGTAAGCAAAGGTCAAACCAGGCCAGGCACTCACGAGGCTGGCTGTGGCAAGTGTAAGTGAAAGCGACAAGCACTGGCAGGAAGAATAGCAAACGCCGATGAAGGAAAAGGGTCTTTGCAGTGATGGGCGTTACCAGAGAGGGCGATGGCCAGGGGACGCGAATGGGACAGGGAGGCGATCGCGTTGGGGGCGGGTGCGACAGGGCTCGGGCCCGACAGTGCCCCAACGGGGCCCTAGTTCTTTCTTTCTTTCTTCTTTTTCCTCCCCTTTGAACTGGAAAATGGCCCACTTCCCACTGGCGAAAACTCATGAAATTTGGCAGGACGACCGGGCCTGGTGAAAAATTCGATATTCTGAAGTCGCCCAAACAATAAAATGCAAAATGGCTCCATAGCGCCCCCTAAGGTGGAAATTCACACTATTGACTGTCACGCCTGTACGCTTTGTCATATTGACACAAAAATTGACACACATATGTATCTCAATAAGATCTACAAAAAAGTCAGTGCGGCCGTATCTGTCAAAATTACGGTTAAAGGGTTATTTCGCATTTTTTGCCGATCCGCACACATTGGAATTTCGCTAACTCCTCCGAAGGCTTTCGTTCCACCGGCACCACATTTGCTCAGGCCAATCTACACCCCGTGGCCATTAAAAGTTATCAAAATCATGACGCTGCACCCCAAGGTTTAGGTTCTAGCGGGCGCCAAAGATAACACTAAAATCCACATATTTAAAAGTCTTATAACTTTTTATTTTTGTCCTCACTGGCCTCCAAGTTTTCTAGGATGATGCAATGTCCAGCCATCAACACATTTGTGAAGGAATTTTTACTCCCCAAAAGAGCGCCCCCCCATGGCAGGAGAAAAAAGTCCATTTTTTCTTGTCCCCTAAGGTGAAAATACACATTGTTGAGTGTCACGCCTATACGCTTTGTCAAAATGACACAAAAATTGACACACACATGTAACTCAATAAGATCTACGAAAAAAGTCAATGCGCGCGTATCTGTCAAATGTACGGTTAAAGGGTTATTCCGCATTTTTTGCCGATCCGCACACATTGGAATGTGGCTAACTCCTCCTAAGGCTTTCGTTCCACCGGCACCACATTTGCTCAGGCCAATCTACACCCCATGGCCATTAAAAGTTATTCAAATCATGACGCTGCACCCCATGGTTTAGGTTCTAGGGGGCGCCAAAGATAACCCAAAAATCCACATATTTCAAAGTCTTATAACTTTTTATTTTTGTCCTCACTGGCCTCCAAGTTTTCTAGGATTATGCAATGTCCAGCCATCAACACATTTGTGAAGGAATTTTTACTCCCCAAAGAGCGCCCCCCCATGGCAGGAGAAAAAAGTCCATTTTTTCTTGTCCCATAAGGTGAAAAAACACATTGTTGACTGTCATACCTGTACGCTTTGTCATATTGACACAAAATTTGACAATCACATGTATCTCAATAAGATCTACGAAAAAGTCAATGCGCGCGTATCTGTAAAATGTACGGTTAAAGGGCTATTTTGCATTTTTGCCGATTCGCACACATTGGAATGTGGCTAACTCCTCCTAAGGATTTCGTCCCACTGACACCAAATTTGCTCAGGCCAATCTACACCCCATGGCCATTCAAAGTTGTAAAAATCATGACGCTGCACCCCACGGTTTACGTTCTAGGGGGCGCCAAAGATGACCCAAATATCCACATTCTTAAAATAATCCACATCCCCCCCATCCCCCATCCCCCATGGCAGGAGAAACAGTCAAGTTTTTCCTGCCCATCACTCAATGGCTCAATCGCATCACTCTCCCGGCAACACCGTAACGAGGAGCAACTTGCCGTTTGGATATATCCTAGCTGTGTTTGTGCCCTCACTCATGGTCCAGACTTTTTTCAAATAGGACATGTTGTTTGTCTGCAGCGAGTGTTTTAGTAGAAACTGCGCCTCCCATTCATTATAATGGGAAATGACCACAGACAAGTGCGCACACCATCTTTGGACCTTGAGTGTGACGCGATCGGGAGGGGGAGGCGGTCGCGCTGGGGGCGGCGCAACGCGGCTCGGGCCCGACAGTGCCCCACCGGGGTCCTAGTCTTTCTTTCTTTCTTTCTTTCTTCTTATTTTTCCTCCCCTTTGAAGGTGAAAATGGCCCACTTCCCACTGGCGAAAACTCATGAAATTTGGCAGGACGACCGGGCCTGGTGAAAAATTGATATTCTGAAGTCGCCCAAACAATAAAATGCAAAATGGCTCCAAAGCGCCCCCTAAGGTGAAAATTCACACTATTGACTGTCACGCCTTTACGCTTTGTCATATTGACACAAAAATTGACACACACATGTATCTCAATAAGATCTACAAAAAAGTCAGTGCGGGCGTATCTGTCAAATGTACGGTTAAAGGGTTATTTCGCATTTTTTGCCGATCCGCACACATTGGAATTTCGCTAACTCCTCCGAAGGCTTTCGTTCCACCGGCACCACATTTGCTCAGGCCAATCTACACCCCATGGCCAATAAAAGTTGTACAAATCATGACGCTGCACCCCACGGTTTACGTTCTAGGGGGCGCCAAAGATAACCCAAAAATCCACAGTCTTAAAAGTCTTATAACTTTTTATTTTTGTCCTCACTGGCCTCCAAGTTCTCTAGGATGATGCAATGTCCAGCCATCAACACATTTGTGAAGGAATTTTTACTCGCCAAAAGAGCGCCCCTCCATGGCAGGAGAAAAAAGTCCATTTTTTCTTGTCTCCTAAGGCGAAAATTCACACTATTGACTGTCACGCCTTTACGCTTTGTCATATTGACACAAAAATTGACATACACATGTATCTCAATAAGATCTACAAAAAAGTCAGTGCGGGCGTATCTGTCAAATGTACGGTTAAAGGGTTATTCCGCATTTTTTGCCGATCCGCACACATTGGAATTTCGCTAACTCCTCCGAAGGCTTTCGTTCCACCGGCACCACATTTGCTCAGGCCAATCTACACCCCATGGCCATTAAAAGTTATTCAAATCATGACGCTGCACCCCACGGTTTAGGTTCTAGGGGGCGCCAAATATAACCCTAAAATCCACATATTTCAAAGTCTTACAACTTTTTATTTTTGTCCTCACTGGCCTCCAAGTTTTCTAGGATGATGCAATGTCCAGCCATCAACACATTTGTGAAGGAATTTTTACTCCCCAAAAGAGCGCCCCCACATGGCAGGAGAAAAAAGTCCATTTTTTCTTGTCCCCTAAGGTGAAAATACACATTGTTGAGTGTCACGCCTGTACGCTTTGTCATATTGACACAAAATTTGACAATCACGTGTATCACAATAACATCTACGAAAAAGTCAATGCGCGCGTATCTGTAAAATGTACTGTAAAAGGGCTCTTTTGCATTTTTTGCCGATTCGCACACATTGGAATGTGGCTAACTCCTCCTAAGGCTTTCGTCCCACTGACACCAAATTTGCTCAGGCCAATCTACACCCCATGGCCATTCAAAGTTGTAAAAATCATGACGCTGCACCCCACGGTTTACGTTCTAGGGGGCGCCAAAGATGACCCAAATATCCACATTCTTAAAAGAATCCACATCCCCCCCATCCCCCATGGCAGGAGAAACAGTCAAGTTTTTCCTGCCCATCACTCAATGGCTCAATCGCATCGCTCTCCCGGCAACACCGTAACGAGGAGCAACTTGCCGTTTGGATATATCCTAGCTGTGTTTGTGCCCTCACTCATGGTCCAGACTTTTTTCAAATAGGACATGTAGTTTGTCTGCAGCGAGTGTTTTGGTAGAAACTGCGCCTCCCATTCATTATAATGGGAAATGACCACAGACAAGTGCGCACACCATCTTTGGACCTTGAGTGTGACGCGATCGGGAGGGGGAGGTGGTCGCGCTGGGGGCGGCGCGACGCGGCTCGGGCCCGACAGTGCCCCACCGGGGCCCTAGTTCTTTCTTTCTTTTTCTTTCTTTAGGGCCCGAGCGTAGCTGCTAAGCAGCTGCGAGAGCCCTCTTGTTCCTGATGGATTCTTCTTTCGTTATTTTTCCTCCGCTTTAAACTGGAAAATGGCCCACTTCCCACTGGCGAAAACTCAGGAAATTTGGCAGGACGACCGGGCCTGGTGAAAAATTTGATATTCTGAAGTCGTCCAAACAAAAAAATGAAAAATGGCTCCATAGCGCCCCCTATGGTGAAAACTCACCTGATGCCTGTACGCTTTGTCAAAATGACACAAAATTTGACACACATGTGTATTCTCAATAAGATCTACGAAAAAGTCAGTGCGGGCGTATCTGCCAAATGTACGGTTAAAGGGCTATTTCGCTTTTTTTGCCGATCCGCACACATTGGAATTTCGCTAACTCCTCCGAAGGCTTTCGTTCCACCGGCACCAAATTTGCTCAGGCCAATCTACACCCCATGGCCATTAAAAGTTGTACAAATCATGATGCTGCACCCCACGGTTTACTTTCTAGGGGGCGCCAAAGATAACACAAAAATCCACATTCTTAAAAGTCTTATAACTTTTTATTTTTGTCCTCACTGGCCTCCAAGTTTTCTAGGATGATGCAATGTCCAGCCATCAACACATTTGTGAAGGAATTTTTACTCCCCAAAAGAGCGCCCCCCCATGGCAGGAGAAAAAAGTCCATTTTTTCTTGTCTCCTAAGGTAAAAATACACATTGTTGAGTGTCACGCCTATACACTTTGTCATATTGACACACAATTTGACAATCACGTGTATCTCAATAAGATCTACAAAAAAGTCAATAGGCACGTATCTGTCAAATGTATGGTTAAAGGGCTATTTCGCATTTTTTGCCGATTCGCACACATTGGAATGTGGCTATCTCCTCCTAAGGCTTTCGTCCCACCGATACCAAATTTGCTCAGGGCAATCTACACCCCATGGCCATTCAAAGTTGTAGAAATCATGACGCTGCACCCCACGGTTTACGTTCTAGGGGGCGCCAAAGATGACCCAAAAATCCACATTCTTAAAAGTCATTTTGGCCACTGCAGGAGTACAGAGTACTGCAGTTCTAGGGGGCGCCAAAGATGACCCAAAAATCCACATTCTTAAAAGTCTTTTTGGCCACTGCAGGAGTACAGAGTACTGCCGGACACACACACATATACACACACGCCAACACACACACACACACACACACACACACACACACACACACACACACACTCAGAGTCTGTTTTTTAGCACCTGCAAAAACATGCTGTTTACATATTTGACAAGAATGCAGAGGCTTCCTTTTGCCCCTGAAAAAAATCAAATTTCAAACACAACTTGACTGTTCATTTCTCCAAAAGACAACCATGAAGCTCCATCCAAACCTGAAGCAGATAGTTGGTGCATGTGTACAGTAACCTGAGGAGAGTGAGGTGACTACTTCTGAGGAGAACATGAGCAGTGAAGATTCACCTTGGAGCTAGAACAGGGACGTGCACATGATTATACAGGGGCAGGGGCTCAAGTTTTTTCCAGTCATTTATACAATATGGAAATTAATGTGAAATTAAACCACAAATATGTGTGATGAACTGTTTTTAAAACTTAAACTTCAAATAAAAATTGTAAACTTTAAAACATATGCAAATTTTTAACAAAGAACATAGTAATTTACCTCTATTTACATCAAAATGCAGGCAATGGCCCAGGCGTTCTTTGTAAAATTATTTACAAAACACTGTATAGTCTCACAAATGTCACTTTTTATTTATGCCACTACAAAAAAACATGATGTAAATGATGCATGATGTAAAACATGATGTAAAAAACTTGTGTAGATCCTCCTCTATGTCAGTCCATGTGTAATTTTTCCATAATTCTTTGTTTTTTGCAGCATTTTTGTTAGTGTAACTGCAGATTGTGCTGACAGTGTCTATGGCAAAAAAAAAAAAAAAACTGAAAATGCCTCAACATGAACTCCTGGTGGTCTCTGAGGGTGAAACCTGCTAACTGCTGCAGCTCTCTCAGCTCTAGTCTCCCATGCAGAGCTCGGAGCGCATGTGTGGCTCTGCACCCTTAGCAGCGTTGCTAACTCCTCAGTAAGGAAAGCCTGCTTCATGTCAGAGTCTCTAAACTCCAGAGGAAGTCGATAAAATTCCCTTTCTTTCTAAAAAAAAGTCGTTAGGGGGTCTGAAAAGTCATTGAATCTAACAACAAAGTCGCTAGGTTTGCAACTACGTTTCCCAGACTGCATCCCTGCTGAGAGTTCCTCCCTCCCTTCTCATATTGCAGGAAGAACGTAAGCGCCCGCCCCTTGTCAATCAGTCACCATATAATTTTGGATTGGTTGTTGTGGTGAAGTTTTCCACCAATAGGAGAGATGTTGTGGTGTGTTTTTTTTTTCTTTTGGCATGCCTTTTCCGCCTGTAAGAGCTGTCGCTAATGTCTGCATGCTATGTTTTCCTGTCTCATACAGCGTGATCGAGCGCCGAACGTGATCAAAATAAGCAGAAAAAAAGTATCGCGGACATAATTTATCATAACTCTGGTTTTATTTGGCCTATCAACACAATTTAAAAACTGGTATATAGTTTGAGGTCCTCACTTTTGAGATAAGTTGAAACGGAGGGTGAACGAGGCTCCGTCTTGCAGCTACATCCGGTTAAATATGTCATGTGACTTGAACGCTGGGGAGCGTCAATCGACTGCAGAGCCAGCAGACAAAGTAGTTATGCCACTGAGAGGCACACATTTGTCATATGCTATAATCCTAACATATTTTAATGCTTTTTCTATTTAAACCTAATGGATCTAAGGTTTGACCTTCAAAATTTAGGAAGAATATGTTTTTGCAGTAATGACCCCCTTAAACAACCAGAGGTCCTTTCCTAAAGTTTATGGAAATTTTAGTGAAGGCCTTGGTTTCTTTCCTTGCAAAATGTATAGAAATAATAAAGCTAAATACCATAAAATGGTCTTGGCGTATTAGCAGTGATATAAAATAGTGGTTTGAATATGAATGAACAACAAAAAAAAACATCAACAGAGCCTTTTTGAGTTGGGATTCTTTCATTATCACACAAAAACAGACATAGACAGACATCTAAAGGGTAAGGGAATGATCAGCCCTCCTAACTCTCAGATGAATCTTCAAAATTCACCGCAGAAATATGCTTATTATTCTTCTCAGAGTACTGCAAGATATATACAAACACACACAGACACACACACACACACACACACACACACACACACACACACACACACACACACTCAGAGTCTGTTTTTTAGCACCTGCAAAAACATGCTATTTACATATTTGACAAGAATGCAGAGGCTCCTTTTGCCCCTGAAAAAAATCAAATTTCAAACACAACTTGACTGGTCATTTCTCCAAAAGACAACCATGAAGCTCCATCCAAACCTGAAGCAGGCAGTTGGTGCATGTGTACAGTAACCTGAGGGGAGTGAGGTGACTGCTTCTGAGGAGAACATGAGCAGTGAAGATTCACCTTGGAGCTAGAACAGGGACGTGCACATGATTATACAGGGGCAGGGGCTCAAGTTTTTTCCAGTCATTTATACAATATGGAAATTAATGTGAAATTAAAAAACAAAGTATTAATAGAAAGGTAATGACTGTCCTGTGTAGATGACAGTGATATCCAATAGGCTAGGCACTCACGAGGCTGGCTGTGGCAAGTGTAAGTGAAAGCAACACGCACTGGCAGGAAGAACAGCAAACGCCGATGAAGGAAAAGGGTCTTTGCAGTGATGGGCGTTACCAGAGAGGGCGATGGCCAGAGGACGCGAATGGGACGGGGAGGCAGCGCGTTGGGGGGGGCGGCGCGACACGGCTCGGGCCCGCCAGTGCCCCAATGGGGCCCTAGTTAGGGCCCGAGCGTAGCTGCTAAGCAGCTGCGAGAGCCCTATTATTCCTGATGGATTCTTCTTTCTTTAGGGCCCGAGCGTAGCTGCTAAGCAGCTGCGAGAGCCCTCTTGTTCCTGATGGATTCTTCTTTTGTTATTATTAGGGCCCGAGCGTAGCTGCTAAGCAGCTGCGAGAGCCCTGTTGTTCCTGATGAGTTTTTCTTTCTTCTTTCTTTCTTTCTTTCTTTCTTTCTTTCTTTCTTTCTTTCTTTCTTTAGGGCCCGAGCGTAGCTGCTAAGCAGCTGCGAGAGCCCTATTATTCCTGATGGATTCTTCTTTCTTCTTCTTCTTCTTATTATTTTTCTGCCCCTTTGAACTGGAAAATGGCCCACTTCCCACTGGTGAAAAGTCATGAAATTTGGCAGGACGACCGGGCCTGGTGAAAAATTCGATATTCTGAAGTCGCCCAAAAAATCAAATGCAAAATGGCTCCATAGCGCCCCCTAAGGTGAAAAATTCACATGATTGAGTGTCACGCCTGTACGCTTTGTCAAAATGACACAAAAATTGACACACATATGTATCTCAATAAGATCTACAAAAAAGTCAGTGCGGCGTATCTGTCAAATGTACGGTTAAAGGGTTATTTCGCATTTTTTGCCGATCCGCACACATTGGAATTTCGCTAACTCCTCCGAAGGCTTTCGTTCCACCGGCACCACATTTGCTCAGGCCAATCTACACCCCATGGCCATTAAAAGTTGTACAAATCATGACGCTGCACCCCACGGTTTAGGTTCTAGGGGGCGCCAAAGATAACCCTAAAATCCACATTCTTAAAAGTCTTATAACTTTTTATTTTTGTCCTCACTGGCCTCCAAGTTTTCTAGGATGATGCAATGTCCAGCCATCAACACATTTGTGAAGGAATTTTTACTCCCCAAAAGAGCGCCCCCCCATGGCAGGAGAAAAAAGTCCATTTTTTCTTGTCTCCTAAGGTGAAAATTCACACTATTGACTGTCACGCCTTTACGCTTTGTCATATTGACACAAAAATTGACACACACATGTATCTCAATAAGATCTACGAAAAAGTCAAAGCAGGCGTATCTGTCAAATGTACGGTGAAAGGGTTATTCCGCATTTTTTGCCGATCCGCACACATTGGAATTTCGCTAACTCCTCCGAAGGCTTTCGTTCCAAAGGCACCACATTTGCTCAGGCCAATCTACACCCCATGGCCATTAAAAGTTATTCAAATCATGACGCTGCACCCCACGGTTTAGGTTCTAGGGGGCGCCAAAGATAACCCTAAAATCCACATATTTAAAAGTCTTATAACTTTTTATTTTTGTCCTCACTGGCCTCCAAGTTTTCTAGGATGATGCAATGTCCAGCCATCAACACATTTGTGAAGGAATTTTTACTCGCCAAAAGAGCGCCCCCCCATGGCAGGAGAAAAAAGTCCATTTTTTCTTGTCTCCTAAGGCGAAAATACACATTGTTGAGTGTCACGCCTTACGCTTTGTCAAATTGACACAAAATTTGACACACATGTGTATCTCAATAAGATCTACAAAAAAGTCAAGTGCGGGCGTATCTGTCAAATGTACGGTTAAAGGGTTATTTCGCATTTTTTGCCGATCCGCACACATTGGAATTTCGCTAACTCCTCCTAAATCTTTTGTCCCATCGGCTACCAAATTTGCTCAGGTCAATCTACACCCCATGGCCATTCAAAGTTGTACAAATCATGACGCTGCACCCCACAGTTTACGTTCTAGGGGGCGCCAAAGATGACCCAAATATCCACATTTTTAAAAGTCTTATAACTTTTTATTTTTGTCCTCACTGGCCTCCAAGTTTTCTAGGATGATGCAATGTCCAGCCATCAACACATTTGTGAAGGATTTTTTTCTCCCCAAAAGAGCGCCCCCCATGGCAGGAGAAAAAGTCAATTTTTTCCTGCCCATCGCTCAATGGCTCAAACGCATCGCTCTCTCTGCAAAACCGAAAGGAGGAGCAACTTGCCATTTGGATATATACTAGCTGTGTTTGTGCCCTCACTCATGGTCCAGACTTTTTTCAAATAGGACATGTAGTTTGTCTGCAGCGAGCGTTTTGATAGAAACTGCGCCTCCCATTCATTATAATGGGAAATGACCACAGACAAGTGCGCACACCATCTTTGGACCTTGAGTGTGACGCGATCGGGAGGGGAGGCGGTCGCGCTGGGGGCGGCGCGACGCGGCTCGGGCCCGACAGTGCCCCACCGGGGCCCTAGTCTTCTTCTTATTATTTTTCTGCCCCTTTGAACTGGAAAATGGCCCACTTCCCACTGGTGAAAAGTCATGAAATTTGGCAGGACGACCGGGCCTGGTGAAAAATTCGATATTCTGAAGTCGCCCAAAAAATCAAATGCAAAATGGCTCCATAGCGCCCCCTAAGGTGAAAAATTCACATGATTGAGTGTCACGCCTGTACGCTTTGTCAAAATGACACAAAATTTGACACACACGTGTATCTCAATAAGATCTACAAAAAAGTCAGTGCGGGCGTATCTGTCAAATGTACGGTTAAAGGGCTATTTCGCATTTTTTGCCGATCCGCACACATTGGAATTTCGCTAACTCCTCCGAAGGCTTTCGTTCCACCGGCACCAAATTTGCTCAGGCCAATCTACACCCCATGGCCATTAAAAGTTGTACAAATCATGACGCTGCATCCCACGGTTTACGTTCTAGGGGGCGCCAAAGATAACCCAGAAATCCACATTCTTAAAAGTCGTATAACTTTTTATTTTTGTCCTCACTGGCCTCCAAGTTTTCTAGGATGATGCAATGTCCAGCCATCAACACATTTGTGAAGGAATTTTTACTCCCCAAAAGAGCGCCCCCCCATGGCAGGAGAAAAAAGTCCATTTTTTCTTGTCTCCTAAGGCGAAAATTCACACTATTGACTGTCACGCCTTTACGCTTTGTCATATTGACACAAAAATTGACACACACATGTATCTCAATAAGATCTACAAAAAAGTCAGTGCGGGCGTATCTGTCAAATGTACGGTGAAAGGGCTATTTCGCATTTTTTGCCGATCCGCACACATTGGAATTTCGCTAACTCCTCCGAAGGCTTTCGTTCCAAAGGCACCACATTTGCTGAGGCCAATCTACACCCCATGGCCATTAAAAGTTGTACAAATCATGACGCTGCACCCCACGGTTTACGTTCTAGGGGGCGCCAAAGATAACCCAAAAATCCACAGTCTTAAAAGTCTTATAACTTTTTATTTTTGTCCTCACTGGCCTCCAAGTTCTCTAGGATGATGCAATGTCCAGCCATCAACACATTTGTGAAGGAATTTTTACTCGCCAAAAGAGCGCCCCCCCATGGCAGGAGAAAAAAGTCCATTTTTTCTTGTCTCCTAAGGCAAAAATACACATTGTTGACTGTCACGCCTTTACGCTTTGTCAAAATGACACAAAATTTGACACACACATGTATCTCAATAAGATCTACAAAAAAGTCAGTGCGGGCGTATCTGTCAAATGTACGGTTAAAGGGTTATTTCGCATTTTTTGCCGATCCGCACACATTGGAATTTCGCTAACTCCTCCTAAATCTTTTGTCCCATCGGCTTCAAATTTGCTCAGGTCAATCTACACCCCATGGCCATTCAAAGTTGTACAAATCATGACGCTGCACCCCACAGTTTACGTTCTAGGGGGCGCCAAAGAGGACCCAAATATCCACATTTTTAAAAGTCTTATAACTTTTTATTTTTGTCCTCACTGGCCTCCAAGTTTTCTAGGATGATGCAATGTCCAGCCATCAACACATTTGTGAAGGAATTTTTCTCCCCAAAAGAGCGCCCCCCCATGGCAGGAGAAAAAGTCAAGTTTTTCCTGCCCATCGCTCAATGGCTCAAACGCATCGCTCTCTCTGCAAAACCGAAAGGAGGAGCAACTTGCCATTTGGATATATACTAGCTGTGTTTGTGCCCTCACTCATGGTCCAGACTTTTTTCAAATAGGACATGTAGTTTGTCTGCAGCGAGCGTTTTGATAGAAACTGCGCCTCCCATTCATTATAATGGGAAATGACCACAGACAAGTGCGCACACCATCTTTGGACCTTGAGTGTGACGCGATCGGGAGGGGGAGGCGGTCGCGCTGGGGGCGGCGCGACGCGGCTCGGGCCCGACAGTGCCCCACCGGGGCCCTAGTCTTCTTCTTATTATTTTTCTGCCCCTTTGAACTGGAAAATGGCCCACTTCCCACTGGTGAAAAGTCATGAAATTTGGCAGGACGACCGGGCCTGGTGAAAAATTCGATATTCTGAAGTCGCCCAAAAATCAAATGCAAAATGGCTCCATAGCGCCCCCTAAGGTGAAAAATTCACATGATTGAGTGTCACGCCTGTACGCTTTGTCAAAATGACACAAAATTTGACACACACGTGTATCTCAATAAGATCTACAAAAAAGTCAGTGCGGGCGTATCTGTCAAATGTACGGTTAAAGGGCTATTTCGCATTTTTTGCCGATCCGCACACATTGGAATTTCGCTAACTCCTCCGAAGGCTTTCGTTCCACCGGCACCAAATTTGCTCAGGCCAATCTACACCCCATGGCCATTAAAAGTTGTACAAATCATGACGCTGCATCCCACGGTTTACGTTCTAGGGGGCGCCAAAGATAACCCAGAAATCCACATTCTTAAAAGTCGTATAACTTTTTATTTTTGTCCTCACTGGCCTCCAAGTTTTCTAGGATGATGCAATGTCCAGCCATCAACACATTTGTGAAGGAATTTTTACTCCCCAAAAGAGCGCCCCCCCATGGCAGGAGAAAAAAGTCCATTTTTTCTTGTCTCCTAAGGCGAAAATTCACACTATTGACTGTCACGCCTTTACGCTTTGTCATATTGACACAAAAATTGACACACACATGTATCTCAATAAGATCTACAAAAAAGTCAGTGCGGGCGTATCTGTCAAATGTACGGTGAAAGGGCTATTTCGCATTTTTTGCCGATCCGCACACATTGGAATTTCGCTAACTCCTCCGAAGGCTTTCGTTCCAAAGGCACCACATTTGCTGAGGCCAATCTACACCCCATGGCCATTAAAAGTTGTACAAATCATGACGCTGCACCCCACGGTTTACGTTCTAGGGGGCGCCAAAGATAACCCAAAAATCCACAGTCTTAAAAGTCTTATAACTTTTTATTTTTGTCCTCACTGGCCTCCAAGTTCTCTAGGATGATGCAATGTCCAGCCATCAACACATTTGTGAAGGAATTTTTACTCGCCAAAAGAGCGCCCCCCCCCATGGCAGGAGAAAAAAGTCCATTTTTTCTTGTCTCCTAAGGCAAAAATACACATTGTTGATTGTCACGCCTTTACGCTTTGTCAAAATGACACAAAATTTGACACACACATGTATCTCAATAAGATCTACAAAAAAGTCAGTGCGGGCGTATCTGTCAAATGTACGGTTAAAGGGTTATTTCGCATTTTTTGCCGATCCGCACACATTGGAATTTCGCTAACTCCTCCTAAATCTTTTGTCCCATCGGCTTCAAATTTGCTCAGGTCAATCTACACCCCATGGCCATTCAAAGTTGTACAAATCATGACGCTGCACCCCACAGTTTACGTTCTAGGGGGCGCCAAAGAGGACCCAAATATCCACATTTTTAAAAGTCTTATAACTTTTTATTTTTGTCCTCACTGGCCTCCAAGTTTTCTAGGATGATGCAATGTCCAGCCATCAACACATTTGTGAAGGAATTTTTTCTCCCCAAAAGAGCGCCCCCCATGGCAGGAGAAAAAGTCAAGTTTTTCCTGCCCATCGCTCAATGGCTCAAACGCATCGCTCTCTCTGCAAAACCGAAAGGAGGAGCAACTTGCCATTTGGATATATACTAGCTGTGTTTGTGCCCTCACTCATGGTCCAGACTTTTTTCAAATAGGACATGTAGTTTGTCTGCAGCGAGCGTTTTGGTAGAAACTGCGCCTCCCATTCATTATAATGGGAAATGACCACAGACAAGTGCGCACACCATCTTTGGACCTTGAGTGTGACGCGATCGGGAGGGGGAGGCGGTCGCGCTGGGGGCGGCGCGACGCGGCTCGGGCCCGACAGTGCCCCACCGGGGCCCTAGTTCTTTCTTTCTTTCTTCTTTTTCCTCCCCTTTGAACTGGAAAATGGCCCACTTCCCACTGGCGAAAACTCATGAAATTTGGCAGGACGACCGGGCCTGGTGAAAAATGCGATATTCTGAAGTTGCCCAAACAATAAAATGCAAAATGGCTCCATAGCGCCCCCTAAGGTGGAAATTCACACTATTGACTGTCACGCCTGTACGCTTTGTCATATTGACACAAAAATTGACACACATATGTATCTCAATAAGATCTACAAAAAAGTCAGTGCGGCCGTATCTGTCAAATGTACGGTTAAAGGGTTATTTCGCATTTTTTGCCGATCCGCACACATTGGAATTTCGCTTACTCCTCCGAAGGCTTTCGTTCCACCGGCACCACATTTGCTCAGGCCAATCTACACCCCGTGGCCATTAAAAGTTATCAAAATCATGACGCTGCACCCCAAGGTTTAGGTTCTAGGGGGCGCCAAAGATAACACTAAAATCCACATATTTAAAAGTCTTATAACTTTTTATTTTTGTCCTCACTGGCCTCCAAGTTTTCTAGGATGATGCAATGTCCAGCCATCAACACATTTGTGAAGGAATTTTTACTCCCCAAAAGAGCGCCCCCCCATGGCAGAAGAAAAAAGTCCATTTTTTCTTGTCCCCTAAGGTGAAAATACACATTGTTGAGTGTCACGCCTATACGCTTTGTCAAAATGACACAAAAATTGACACACACATGTAACTCAATAAGCTCTACGAAAAAGTCAATGCGCGCGTATCTGTCAAATGTACGGTTAAAGGGTTATTCCGCATTTTTTGCCGATCCGCACACATTGGAATGTGGCTAACTCCTCCTAAGGCTTTCGTTCCACCGGCACCACATTTGCTCAGGCCAATCTACACCCCATGGCCATTAAAAGTTATTCAAATCATGACGTTGCACCCCACGGTTTAGGTTCTAGGGGGCGCCAAAGATAACCCTAAAATCCACATATTTAAAAGTCTTATAACTTTTTATTTTTGTCCTCACTGGCCTCCAAGTTTTCTAGGATGATGCAATGTCCAGCCATCAACACATTTGTGAAGGAATTTTTACTCCTCAAAAGAGCGCCCCCCCATGGCAGGAGAAAAAAGTCCATTTTTTCTTGTCCCCTAAGGTGAAAATACATATTGTTGAGATTCACGCCTATACGCTTTGTCATATTGACACAAAATTTGACAATCACGTGCCTTGCCTGGTATCATTTTTTTCAGCACAACCTCACCTGTGCGAATTTACAGTTATTTTATCATGTTGACATACTGAATTTACACAATGGACCCAAATTCACACACAAAACATAAAATCCGAGTGGAAAAAAGTAACATTTTTACTGTGAAAACCACAAATATGTGTGATGAACTGTTTTTAAAACTTAAACTTCAAATAAAAATTGTAAACTTCAAAACATATGCAAATTTTTAACAAAGAACATAGTGATTTACCTCTATTTACATCAAAATGCAGGCAATGGCCCAGGCGTTCCTTGTAAAATTATTTACAAAACACTGTATAGTCTCACAAATGTCACTTTTTATTTATGCCACTACAAAAAAACATGATGTAAATGATGCATGATGTAAAACATGATGTAAAAAACTTGTGTAGATCCTCCTCTATGTCAGTCCATGTGTAATTTTTCCATAATTCTTTGTTTTTTGCAGCATTTTTGTTAGTGTAACTGCAGATTGTGCTGACAGTGTCTATGGCACAAAAAAAAAAAATTTTTTAAATGCCTCAACATGAACCCCTGGTGGTCTCTGAGGGTGAAACCTGCTAACTGCTGCAGCTCTGTCAGCTTCAGTCTCCCATGCAGAGCTCGGAGCGCATGTGTGGCTCTGCACCCTTAGCAGCGTTCCTAACTCCTCAGTAAGGAAAGCCTGCTTCATGTCAGAGTCTCTAAACTCCAGAAGAAGTCGATAAAAGTCCCTTTCTTTCTAAAAAAAAGTCGTTAGGGGGTCTGAAAAGTCATTGAATCTAACAACAAAGTCGCTAGGTTTGCAACTACGTGTCCCAGACTGCATCCCTGCTGAGAGTCCCTCCCTCCCTTCTCATGTTGCAGGAAGAACGTAAGCGCCCGCCCCTTGTCAATCAGTCACCATATAATTTTGGATTGGTTGTTGTGGTGAAGTTTTCCACCAAAAGGAGAGATGTTGTGTGTTTTTTTTTTCTTTTGGCAAGCCTTTTCCGCCTGTAAGACCTGTCGCTAATGTCTGCATGCTATGTTTTCCTGTCTCATACAGCGCGATCGAGCACCGAACGTGATCAAAATAAGCAGAAAAAAAGTATCGCGGACATAATTTATCATAACTCTGGTTTTATTTGGCCTATCAACACAATTTAAAAACTGGTATATAGGTTGAGGTCCTCACTTTTGAGATAAGTTGAAACGGAGAGTCAACGAGGCTCCGTCTTGCAGCTACATCCAGTTAAATATGTCATGTGACTTGAACGCACACACAGACACACACACACGCACACGCACACACACACACACACACACACTCAGAGTCTGGTTTTTAGCACCTGCAAAAACATGCTATTTACATATTTGACAAGAATGCAGAGGCTCGTTTTGCCCCTGAAAAAAATCAAATTTCAAACACAACTTGACTGGTCATTTCTCCAAAAGACAACCATGAAGCTCCATCCAAACCTGAAGCAGGCAGTTGGTGCATGTGTACAGTAACCTTAGTGGAGTGAGGTGAGTGCTTCTGAGGAGAACATGAGCAGTGAAGATTCACCTTGGAGCTAGAACAGAGACATGCACATGATTATACAGGGGCAGGGGCTCAAGTTTTTTCCAGTCGTTTATACAATATGGAAATTAATGTGAAATTAAAACACAAAGTATTAATAGAAAGGTAATGACTGTCCTGTGTAGGTGACAGTGATATCCAATAGGCTAGGCACTCACGAGGCTGGCTGTGGCAAGTGTAAGTGAAAGCAACACGCACTGGCAGGAAGAACAGCAAACGCCGATGAAGGAAAAGGGTCTTTGCAGTGATGGGCGATACCAGAGAGGGCGATGGCCAGAGGACACAAATGGGACGGGAAGGCAGCACGTTGGGGGGGGGGACGCGACACGGCTCGGGCCCGCCAGTGCCCCAACGGGGTCCTAGTCTTATTTTTCCTCCCCTTTGAAGGGGAAAATGGCCCACTTCCCACTGGCGAAAACTCATGAAATTTGGCAGGACGACCGGGCCTGGTGAAAAATTCGATATTCTGAAGTCGCCCAAACAATAAAATGCAAAATGGCTCCATAGCGCCCCCTAAGGTGAAAATTCACACTATTGACTGTCACGCCTGTACGCTTTGTCATATTGACACAAAAATTGACACACACATGTATCTCAATAAGATCTACAAAAAAGTCAGTGCGGGCGTATCTGTCAAATGTACGGTTTAAGGATTATTGCGCATTTTTTGCCGATCCGCACACATTGGAATTTCGCTAACTCCTCCGAAGGCTTTCGTTCCACCGGCACCACATTTGCTCAGGCCAATCTACACCCCATGGCCATTAAAAGTTGTACAAATCATGACGCTGCACCCCACGGTTTACGTTCTAGGGGGCGCCAAAGATAACCCAAAAATCCACATTCTTAAAAGTCTAATAACTTTTTATTTTTGTCCTCACTGGCCTCCAAGTTTTCTAGGATGATGCAATGTCCAGCCATCAACACATTTGTGAAGGAATTTTTACTCCCCAAAAGAGCGCCCCCCCATGGCAGGAGAAAAAAGTCCATTTTTTCTTGTCCCCTAAGGTGAAAATACATATTGTTGAGTGTCACGCCTATACGCTTTGTCATATTGACACAAAATTTGACACACACGTGTATCTCAATAAGATCTACAAAAAAGTCTATGCGCACGTATCTGTCAAATGTACGGTTAAAGGGTTATTTCGCATTTTTTGCCGATCGCACACATTGGAATTTCGCTAACTCCTCCTAAAGCTTTCGTTCCACCGGCACCAAATTTGCTCAGGCCAATCGACACCCCATGGCCATTAAAAGTTGTACAAATCATGACGCTGCACCCCACGGTTTACGTTCTAGGGGGCGCCAAAGATAACCCAAAAATCCACAGTCTTAAAAGTCTTATAACTTTTTATTTTTGTCCTCACTGGCCTCCAAGTTTTGTAGGATGATGCAATGTCCAGCCATCAACACATTTGTGAAGGAATTTTTACTCCCCAAAAGAGCGCCCCCCCATGGCAGGAGAAAAAAGTCCATTTTTCTTGTCCCCTAAGGTGAAAATACACATTGTTGAGTGTAACACCTGTACGCTTTGGCAAAATGACACAAAAATTGACACACACATGTATCTCAATAAGATCTACGAAAAAGTCAATGCGCGTGTATCTGTCAAATGTACGGTTAAAGGGTTATTCCGCATTTTTTGCCGATCCGCACACATTGGAATTTCGCTAACTCCTCCGAAGGCTTTCGTTCCACCGGCACCACATTTGCTCAGGCCAATCTACACCCCATGGCCATTAAAAGTTATTCAAATCATGACGCTGCACCCCACGGTTTAGGTTCTAGGGGGAGCCAAAGATAACCGTAAAATCCACATATTTAAAAGTCTTATAACTTTTTATTTTTGTCCCCACTGGCCTCCAAGTTTTCTAGGATGATGCAATGTCCAGCCATCAACACATTTGTGAAGGAATTTTTACTCGGCAAAAGAGCGCCCCCCCATGGCAGGAGAAAAAAGTCAATTTTTTCTTGTCCACTAAGGTGAAAATACACATTGTTGAGTGCTACGCCTGTATGTTTTGTCGTATTGACACAAAATTTTACATACACGTGTATTTACATAAGATCTTCGAAAAAGTCAATGGCCACGTATCTGTAAAATGTACGGTTAAAGGGTTATTTCGCATTTTTTGCAGATTCGCACACATTGGAATTTCGCTAATTCCTCCGAAGGCTTTCGTTCCACCGGCACCACATTTGCTCAGGCCAATCTACACCCCATGGCCATTAAAAGTTATTCAAATCATGACGCTGCACCCCACGGTTTAGGTTCTAGGGGGCGCCAAATATAACCCTAAAATCCACATATTTAAAAGTCTTATAACTTTTTATTTTTGTCCTCACTGGCCTCCATGTTTTCTAGGATGATGCAATGTCCAGCCATCAACACATTTGTGAAGGAGTTTTTTCTCTTTAAAAGAGCGCCCCCCATGGCAGGAGAATAAAGTCAAGTTTTTCTTGTTCATCATTCAATGGCTCAAACGCACTGCTCTCTCGGCAAAAGCGAAAGGAGGAGCAACTTGCCATTTGGATATATCTTAGCTGTGTTTGTGCCCTCACTCATGGTCCAGACTTTTTTCAAATAGGACATGGAGTTTTTCTGCAGCGAGCGTTTTGGTAGAAACTGCGCCTCCCGTTCATTATAATGGTAAATGACCACAAACAAGTGCGCACACCATCTTTGGACCTTGAGTGTGACGCGATCGGGTGGGGGAGGCGGTCGCGCTGGGGGCGGCGTGACACGGCTCGGGCCCGCCAGTGCCCCAACGGGGCCCTAGTCTTATTATTATTTTTCTGCCCCTTTGAACTGGAAAATGGCCCACTTCCCACTGGTGAAAACTCATGAAATTTGGCAGGACGACCGGGCCTGGTGAAAAATTCGATATTCTGAAGTCGCCCAAACAATCAAATGCAAAATGGCTCCAAAGCGCCCCCTAAGGTGAAAAATTCACATGATTGAGTGTCACACCTGTACGCTTTGTCAAAATGACACAAAATTTGACACACACGTGTATCTCAATAAGATCTACAAAAAAGTCAGCGCGGGCGTATCTGTCAAATGTACGGTTAAAGGGCTATTTCGCATTTTTTGCCGATCCGCACACAGTGGAATTTCGCTAACTCCTCCGAAGGCTTTCGTTCCACCGGCACCACATTTGCTCAGGCCAATCTACACCCCATGGCCATTAAAAGTTGTACAAATCATGACGCTGCACCCCACGGTTTACGTTCTAGGGGGCGCCAAAGATAACCCAAAAATCCACATTCTTAAAAGTCTAATAACTTTTTATTTTTGCCCTCACTGGCCTCCAAGTTTTCTAGGATGATGCAATGACCAGCCATCAACACATTTGTGAAGGAATTTTTACTCCCCAAAAGAGCGCCCCCCCATGGCAGGAGAAAAAAGTCCATTTTTTCTTGTCCCCTAAGGTGAAAATACATATTGTTGAGTGTCACGCCTATACGCTTTGTCATATTGACATAAAATTTGACACACACGTGTATCTCAATAAGATCTACAAAAAAGTCTACGCGCACGTATCTGTCAAATGTACGGTTAAAGGGCTATTTTGCATTTTTTGCGGAACCGCACACATTGGAATTTCGCTAACTCCTCCGAAGGCTTTCGTTCCACCGGCACCAAATTTGCTCAGGCCAATCTACACCCCATGGCCATTAAAAGTTGTACAAATCATGACGCTGCACCCCACGGTTTACGTTCTAGGGGGCGCCAAAAATAACCCAAAAATCCACAGTCTTAAAAGTCTTATAACTTTTTATTTTTGTCCTCACTGGCCTCCAAGTTTTCTAGGATGATGCAATGTCCAGCCATCAACACATTTGTGAAGGAATTTTTACTCCCCAAAAGAGCGCCCCCCATGGCAGGAGAAAAAAGTCCATTTTTTCTTGTCCCATAAGGTGAAAATACACATTGTTGAGTGTCACGCCTGTACGCTTTGTCATATTGAAACAAAATTTGACAATCACGTGTATCTCAATAAGATCTACGAAAAAGTCAATGCGCACGTATCTGTAAAATGTACGGTTAAAGGGCTATTACGCATTTTTGATCGATTCGCACACATTGGAATGTGGCTAACTCCTCCTAAAGCTTTCGTTCCACCGGCACCACATTTGCTCAGGCCAATCTACACCCCATGGCCATTAAAAGTTGTACAAATCATGACGCTGCACCCCACGGTTTACGTTCTAGGGGGCGCCAAAGATAACCCAAATATCCACATTCTTAAAAGTCTTATAACTTTTCATTTTTGTCCTCACTGGCTTCCAAGTTTTCTAGGATGATGCAATGTCTAGCCATCAACACATTTGTGAAGGAATTTTTACTCCCCAAAAGAGTGCCCCCCCCATGGCAGGAGAAAAAGTCAAGTTTTTCCTGCCCATCGCTCAATGGCTCAAACACATGTCATGTGTTCAAACTCCTCCGAAAGGAGGAGCAACTTGCCATTTGGATATATCCTAGCTGTGTTTGTGCCCTCACTCATGGATCAGACTTTTTTCAAATAGGACATGTAGTTTGTCTGCAGCGAGTGTTTTGGTAGAAACTGCGCCTCCCATTCATTATAATGGGAAATGACCACAGACAAGTGCGCACACCATCTTTGGACCTTGAGTGTGACGCGATCGGGAGGGGAGGCGGTCGCGCTGGGGGCGGCGCAACGCGGCTCGGGCCCGACAGTGCCCCACCGGGGCCCTAGTTAGGGCCAGAGCGTAGCTGCTAAGCAGCTGCGAGAGCCCTATTATTCCCCAAGTGGTTTTTCTTTGTTTCTTTTTTCTTTTTCCTCCCCTTTGAACTGGAAAATGGCCCACTTCCCACTGGCGAAAACTCATGAAATTTGGCAGGACAACCGGGCCTGGTGAAAAATTTGATATTCCGAAGTCGCCCAAACAAGAAAATGCAAAATGGCTCCATAGCGCCCCCTAAGGTGAAAATTCACACTATTGACTGTCACGCCTGTACGCTTTGTCAAAATGACACAAAAATTGACACACACATGTATCTCAATAAGATCTACAAAAAAGTCAGTGCGGGCGTATCTGTCAAATGTACGGTTAAAGGGTTATTTCGCATTTTTTGCCGATCCGCACACATTGGAATTTCGATAACTCCTCCGAAGGCTTTCGTTCCACCGGCACCACATTTGCTCAGGCCAATCTACACCCCATGGCCATTAAAAGTTATTCAAATCATGACGCTGCACCCCACGGTTTAGGTTCTAGGGGGCGCCAAAGATAACCCTAAGATCCACATATTTAAAAGTCTTATAACTTTTTATTTTTGCCCTCACTGGCCTCCAAGTTTTCTAGGATGATGCAATGTCCAGCCATCAACACATTTGTGAAGGAATTTTTACTCCCCAAAAGAGCGCCCCCCCATGGCAGGAGAAAAAAGTCCATTTTTTCTTGTCCCCTAAGGTGAAAATACACATTGTTGAGTGTCACGCCTATACGCTTTGTCAAAATGACACAAAAATTGACACACACATGTAACTCAATAAGATCTACGAAAAAGTCAATGCGCGCGTATCTGTCAAATGTACGGTTAAAGGGTTATTCCGCATTTTTTGCCGATCCGCACACATTGGAATGTGGCTAACTCCTCCTAAGGCTTTCGTTCCACCGGCACCACATTTGCTCAGGCCAATCTACACCCCATGGCCATTAAAAGTTATTCAAATCATGACGCTGCACCCCACGGTTTAGGTTCTAGGGGGCGCCAAAGATAACCCTAAAATCCACATATTTAAAAGTCTTATAACTTTTTATTTTTGTCCTCACTGGCCTCCAAGTTTTCTAGGATGATGCAATGTCCAGCCATCAACACATTTGTGAAGGAATTTTTACTCCCCAAAAGAGCGCCCCCCCATGGCAGGAGAAAAAAGTCCATTTTTTCTTGTCCCCTAAGGTGAAAATACATATTGTTGAGATTCACGCCTATACGCTTTGTCATATTTACACAAAATTTGACAATCACGTGCCTTGCCTGGTATCATTTTTTTCAGCACAACCTCACCTGTGCGAATTTACAGTTATTTTATCATGTTGACATACTGAATTTACACAATGGACCCAAATTCACACACAAAACATAAAATCCGAGTGGAAAAAAGTAACATTTTTACTGTGAAAACCACAAATATGTGTGATGAACTGTTTTTAAAACTTAAACTTCAAATAAAAATTGTAAACTTCAAAACATATGCAAATTTTTAACAAAGAACATAGTGATTTACCTCTATTTACATCAAAATGCAGGCAATGGCCCAGGCGTTCTTTGTAAAATTATTTACAAAACACTGTATAGTCTCACAAATGTCACTTTTTATTTATGCCACTACAAAAAACATGATGTAAATGATGCATGATGTAAAACATGATGTAAAAAACTTGTGTAGATCCTCCTCTATGTCAGTCCATGTGTAATTTTTCCATAATTCTTTGTTTTTTGCAGCATTTTTGTTAGTGTAACTGCAGATTGTGCTGACAGTGTCTATGGCACACACAAAAAAAAAAAATTAAAATGCCTCAACATGAACCCCTGGTGGTCTCTGAGGGTGAAACCTGCTAACTGCTGCAGCTCTGTCAGCTTCAGTCTCCCATGCAGAGCTCTGAGCGCATGTGTGGCTCTGCACCCTTAGCAGCGTTGCTAACTCCTCAGTAAGGAAAGCCTGCTTCATGTCAGAGTCTCTAAACTCCAGAAGAAGTCGATAAAAGTCCCTTTCTTTCTAAAAAAAAGTCGTTAGGGGGTCTGAAAAGTCATTGAATCTAACAACAAAGTCGCTAGGTTTGCAACTACGTGTCCCAGACTGCATCCCTGCTGAGAGTCCCTCCCTCCCTTCTCATGTTGCAGGAAGAACGTAAGCGCCCGCCCCTTGTCAATCAGTCACCATATAATTTTGGATTGGTTGTTGTGGTGAAGTTTTCCACCAATAGGAGAGATGTTGTGGTGTGTTTTTTTTTTCTTTTGGCAAGCCTTTTCCGCCTGTAAGACCTGTCGCTAATGTCTGCATGCTATGTTTTCCTGTCTCATACAGCGCGATCGAGCGCCGAACGTGATCAAAATAAGCAGAAAAAAAGTATCGCGGACATAATTTATCATAACTCTGGTTTTGTTTGGCCTATCAACACAATTTAAAAACTGGTATATAGGTTGAGGTCCTCACTTTTGAGATAAGTTGAAACGGAGAGTCAACGAGGCTCCGTCTTGCAGCTACATCCGGTTAAATATGTCATGTGACTTGAACGCACACACAGACACACACACACGCACGCACACACACACACACACACACACACACACACACACACACACACACACACACACACACTCAGAGTCTGGTTTTTAGCACCTGCAAAAACATGCTATTTACATATTTGACAAGAATGCAGAGGCTCCTTTTGCCCCTGAAAAAAATCAAATTTCAAACACAACTTGACTGCTCATTTCTCCAAAAGACAACCATGAAGCTCCATCCAAACCTGAAGCAGGCAGTTGGTGCATGTGTACAGTAACCTGAGGGGAGTGAGGTGAGTGCTTCTGAGGAGAACATGAGCAGTGAAGATTCACCTTGGAGCTAGAACAGAGACATGCACATGATTATACAGGGGCAGGGGCTCAAGTTTTTTCCAGTCGTTTATACAATATGGAAATTAATGTGAAATTAAAACACAAAGTATTAATAGAAAGGTAATGACTGTCCTGTGTAGGTGACAGTGATATCCAATAGGCTAGGCACTCACGAGGCTGGCTGTGGCAAGTGTAAGTGAAAGCAACACGCACTGGCAGGAAGAACAGCAAACGCCGATGAAGGAAAAGGGTCTTTGCAGTGATGGGCGTTACCAGAGAGGGCGATGGCCAGAGGACACAAATGGGACGGGGAGGCAGCACGTTGGGGGGGGGGGCGCGACACGGCTCGGGCCCGCCAGTGCCCCAACGGGGTCCTAGTTCTTTCTTTCTTTCTTCTTTTTCCTCCCCTTTGAACTGGAAAATGGCCCACTTCCCACTGGCGAAAACTCAGGAAATTTGGCAGGACGACCGGGCCTGGTGAAAAATTCGATATTCTGAAGTCGCCCAAACAATAAAATGCAAAATGGCTCCATAGCGCCCCCTAAGGTGGAAATTCACACTATTGACTGTCACGCCTTTACGCTTTGTCATATTGACACAAAAATTGACACACATATGTATCTCAATAAGATCTACAAAAAAGTCAGTGCGGCCGTATCTGTCAAATGTACGGTTAAAGGGTTATTTCGCATTTTTTTCCGATCCGCACACATTGGAATTTCGCTAACTCCTCCGAAGGCTTTCGTTCCACCGGCACCACATTTGCTCAGGCCAATCTACACCCCGTGGCCATTAAAAGTTATCAAAATCATGACGCTGCACCCCAAGGTTTAGGTTCTAGGGGGCGCCAAAGATAACACTAAAATCCACATATTTAAAAGTCTTTTAACTTTTTATTTTTGTCCTCACTGGCCTCCAAGTTTTCTAGGATGATGCAATGTCCAGCCATCAACACATTTGTGAAGGAATTTTTACTCCCCAAAAGAGCGCCCCCCCATGGCAGGAGAAAAAAGTCAATTTTTTCTTGTCCCCTAAGGTGAAAATACACATTGTTGACTGTCACGCCTTTACGCTTTGTCAAAATGACACAAAAATTGACACACACATGTAACTCAATAAGATCTACGAAAAAGTCAACGCGCGCGTATCTGTCAAATGTACGGTTAAAGGGTTATTCCGCATTTTTTGCCGATCCGCACACATTGGAATGTGGCTAACTCCTCCGAAGGCTTTCGTTCCACCGGCACCACATTTGCTCAGGCCAATCTACACCCCATGGCCATTAAAAGTTGTACAAATCATGACGCTGCACCTCACGGTTTACGTTCTAGGGGGCGCCAAAGATAACCCAAAAATCCACATTCTTAAAAGTCTAATAACTTTTTATTTTTGCCCTCACTGGCCTCCAAGTTTTCTAGGATGATGCAATGACCAGCCATCAACACATTTGTGAAGGAATTTTTACTCCCCAAAAGAGCGCCCCCCCATGGCAGGAGAAAAAAGTCCATTTTTTCTTGTCCCCTAAGGTGAAAATACATATTGTTGAGTGTCACGCCTATACGCTTTGTCATATTGACATAAAATTTGACACACACGTGTATCTCAATAAGATCTACAAAAAAGTCTACGCGCACGTATCTGTCAAATGTACGGTTAAAGGGCTATTTTGCATTTTTTGCGGAACCGCACACATTGGAATTTCGCTAACTCCTCCGAAGGCTTTCGTTCCACCGGCACCAAATTTGCTCAGGCCAATCTACACCCCATGGCCATTAAAAGTTGTACAAATCATGACGCTGCACCCCACGGTTTACGTTCTAGGGGGCGCCAAAAATAACCCAAAAATCCACAGTCTTAAAAGTCTTATAACTTTTTATTTTTGTCCTCACTGGCCTCCAAGTTTTCTAGGATGATGCAATGTCCAGCCATCAACACATTTGTGAAGGAATTTTTACTCCCCAAAAGAGCGCCCCCCATGGCAGGAGAAAAAAGTCCATTTTTTCTTGTCCCATAAGGTGAAAATACACATTGTTGAGTGTCACGCCTGTACGCTTTGTCATATTGAAACAAAATTTGACAATCACGTGTATCTCAATAAGATCTACGAAAAAGTCAATGCGCACGTATCTGTAAAATGTACGGTTAAAGGGCTATTACGCATTTTTGATCGATTCGCACACATTGGAATGTGGCTAACTCCTCCTAAAGCTTTCGTTCCACCGGCACCACATTTGCTCAGGCCAATCTACACCCCATGGCCATTAAAAGTTGTACAAATCATGACGCTGCACCCCACGGTTTACGTTCTAGGGGGCGCCAAAGATAACCCAAATATCCACATTCTTAAAAGTCTTATAACTTTTCATTTTTGTCCTCACTGGCTTCCAAGTTTTCTAGGATGATGCAATGTCTAGCCATCAACACATTTGTGAAGGAATTTTTACTCCCCAAAAGAGTGCCCCCCCCATGGCAGGAGAAAAAGTCAAGTTTTTCCTGCCCATCGCTCAATGGCTCAAACACATGTCATGTGTTCAAACTCCTCCGAAAGGAGGAGCAACTTGCCATTTGGATATATCCTAGCTGTGTTTGTGCCCTCACTCATGGATCAGACTTTTTTCAAATAGGACATGTAGTTTGTCTGCAGCGAGTGTTTTGGTAGAAACTGCGCCTCCCATTCATTATAATGGGAAATGACCACAGACAAGTGCGCACACCATCTTTGGACCTTGAGTGTGACGCGATCGGGAGGGGGAGGCGGTCGCGCTGGGGGCGGCGCAACGCGGCTCGGGCCCGACAGTGCCCCACCGGGGCCCTAGTTAGGGCCCGAGCCAGCTGCAGAGCAGCCGGGCGTAGGCCCTATTATTCCCCAAGTGGTTTTTCTTTGTTTCTTTCTTTAGGGCCCGAGCGTAGCTGCTAAGCAGCTGCGAGAGCCCTCTTGTTCCTGCATGTTTCCTTCTTTCGTTATTATTTTTCCTCCGCTTTAAACTGGAAAATGGCCCACTTCCCACTGGCGAAAACTCAGGAAATTTGGCAGGACGACCGGGCCTGGTGAAAAATTCGATATTCTGAAGTCGCCCAAACAATAAAATGCAAAATGGCTCCATAGCGCCCCCTAAGGTGAAAATTCACATGACCGCTGTACGCTTTGTCATATTGACACAAAAATTGACACAAACATGTATCTCAATAAGATCTACAAAAAAGTCAGTGCGGGCGTATCTGTCAAATGTACGGTTAATGGGTTATTTTGCATTTTTTGCAGATCTGCACACATTGGAATTTCGCTAACTCCTCCGAAGGCTTTCGTTCGACCGGCACCACATTTGCGCAGGCCAATCTACACCCCATGGCCATTAAAAGTTGTACAAATCATGACGCTGCACCCCACGGTTTACATTCTAGGGGGCGCCAAAGATAACCCAAAATCCACATTCTTAAAAGTCTTATAACTTTTTATTTTTGTCCTCACTGCCCTCCAAGTTTTCTAGGATGATGCAATGTCCAGCCATCAACACATTTGTGAAGGAATTTTTACTCCCCAAAAGAGCGCCCCCCCATGGCAGGAGAAAAAAGTCAATTTTTTCTTGTCCCCTTACATGAAAATACACATTGTTGAGTGTCACGCCTGAACGCTTTGTCATATTGACACAAAAATTGACAATCATGTGTATCTCAATTAGATCTACGAAAAAGTCAAAAAGCGCGTATCTGTATAATGTACGGTTAAAGGGCTATTTCGCATTTTTTGCCGATTCGCACACATTGGAATGTGGCTATCTCCTCCTAAGGCTTTCGTCCCACCGATACCAAATTTGCTCAGGGCAATCTACACCCCATGCCCATTCAAAGTTGTAAAAATCATGACGCTGCACCCCACGGTTTACGTTCTAGGGGGCGCCAAAGATGACCCAAAAATCCACATTCTTAAAAGTCATTTTGGCCACTGCAGGAGTACAGAGTACTGCAGTTCTAGGGGGCGCCAAAGATGACCCAAAAATCCACATTCTTAAAAGTCTTTTTGGCCACTGCAGGAGTACAGAGTACTGCAGGATACACACACACACACACACACACACACACACACACACACACACACACACACACACACACTCAGAGTCTGTTTTTTAGCACCTGCAAAAACATGCTGTTTACATATTTGACAAGAATGCAGAGGCTTCCTTTTGCCCCTGAAAAAAATCAGATTTCAAACACAACTTGACTGTTCATTTCTCCAAAAGACAACCATGAAGCTCCATCCAAACCTGAAGCAGATAGTTGGTGCATGTGTACAGTAACCTGAGGGGAGTGAGGTGACTATTTCTGAGGAGAACATGAGCAGTGAAGATTCACCTTGGAGCTAGAACAGGGACGTGCACATGATTATACAGGGGCAGGGGCTCAAGTTTTTTCCAGTCATTTATACAATATGGAAATTAATGTGAAATTAAACCACAAATATGTGTGATGAACTGTTTTTAAAACTTAAACTTCAAATAAAAATTGTAAACTTCAAAACATATGCAAATTTTTAACAAAGAACATAGTAATTTACCTCTATTTACATCAAAATGCAGGCAATGGCCCAGGCGTTCTTTGTAAAATTATTTACAAAACACTGTATAGTCTCACAAATGTCACTTTTTATTTATGCCACTACAAAAAAACATGATGTAAATGATGCATGATGTAAAACATGATGTAAAAAACTTGTGTAGATCCTCCTCTATGTCAGTCCATGTGTAATTTTTCCATAATTCTTTGTTTTGTCCAGCATTTTTGTTAGTGTAACTGCAGATTGTGCTGACAGTCTATGGCAAAAAAAACAAAAACTGAAAATGCCTCAACATGAACCCCTGGTGGTCTCTGAGGGTGAAACCTGCTAACTGCTGCAGCTCTGTCAGCTTCAGTCTCCCATGCAGAGCTCTGAGCGCATGTGTGGCTCTGCACCCTTAGCAGCGTTGCTAACTCCTCAGTAAGGAAAGCCTGCTTCATGTCAGAGTCTCTAAACTCCAGAAGAAGTCGATAAAAGTCCCTTTCTTTCTAAAAAAAGTCGTTAGGGGGTCTGAAAAGTAATTGAATCTAACAACAAAGTCGCTAGGTTTGCAACTACGTGTCCCAGACTGCATCCCTGCTGAGAGTCCCTCCCTCCCTTCTCATGTTGCAGGAAGAACGTAAGCGCCCGCCCCTTGTCAATCAGTCACCATATAATTTTGGATTGGTTGTTGTGGTGAAGTTTTCCACCAATAGGAGAGATGTTGTGGTGTGTTTTTTTTTTTCTTTTGGCAAGCCTTTTCCGCCTGTAAGACCTGTCGCTAATGTGTGCATGCTATGTTTTCCTGTCTCATACAGCACGATCGAGCGCCGAACGTGATCAAAATAAGCAGAAAACAAGTATCGCGGACATAATTTATCATAACTCTGGTTTCATTTGGCCTATCAACACAATTTAAAAACTGGTATATAGGTTGAGGTCCTCACTTTTGAGATAAGTTGAAACGGAGAGTTAACGAGGCTCCGTCTTGCAGCTACATCCGGTTAAATATGTCATGTGACTTGAACGCTGGGGAGCGTCAATCGAATCGAATCAAACCTAACTCTCAGATGAATCTTCAAAATTCACCTCAGAAATATGCTTATTATTCTTCTCAGAGTACTGCAGGATACACACACACACACACACACAGACACACACACACACACACACTCAGAGTCTGTTTTTTAGCACCTGCAAAAACATGCTATTTACATATTTGACAAGAATGCAGAGGCTTCCTTTTGCCCCTGAAAAAAATCAAATTTCAAACACAACTTGACTGCTCATTTCTCCAAAAGACAACCATGAAGCTCCATCCAAACCTGAAGCAGGCAGTTGGTGCATGTGTACAGTAACCTGAGGGGAGTGAGGTGACTGCTTCTGAGGAGAACATGAGCAGTGAAGATTCACCTTAGAGCTAGAACAGAGACGTGCACATGATTATACAGGGGCAGGGGCTCAAGTTTTTTCCAGTTGTTTATACAATATGGAAATTAATGTGAAATTAAAAAACAAAGTATTAATAGAAAGGTAATGAATGTCCTGTGTAGGTGACAGTGATATCCAATAGGCTAGGCACTCACGAGGCTGGCTGTGGCAAGTGTAAGTGAAAGCAACATGCACTGGCAGGAAGAACAGCAAACGCCGATGAAGGAAAAGGGTCTTTGCAGTGATGGGCGTTACCAGAGAGGGCGATGGCCAGAGGACGCGAATAGGACGGGGAGGCAGCGCGTTGGGGGGGGGACGCGACACAGCTCGGGCCCGCCAGTGCCCCAACGGGGTCCTAGTTAGGGCCCGAGCCAGCTGCAGAGCAGCCGGGCGTAGGCCCTGTTATTCCTGTAGGGGTTTTTCTTTGTTTCTTTCTTTCTTCTTTTTCCTCCCCTTTGAACTGGAAAATGGCCCACTTCCCACTGGCGAAAACTCATGAAATTTGGCAGGACGACCGGGCCTGGTGAAAAATTCGATATTCTGAAGTCGCCCAAACAATAAAATGCAAAATGGCTCCATAGCGCCCCCTAAGGTGGAAATTCACACTATTGACTGTCACGCCTGTACGCTTTGTCATATTGACACAAAAATTGACACACATATGTATCTCAATAAGATCTACAAAAAAGTCAGTGCGGCCGTATCTGTCAAAATTACGGTTAAAGGGTTATTTCGCATTTTTTGCCGATCCGCACACATTGGAATTTCGCTAACTCCTCCGAAGGCTTTCATTCCACCGGCACCACATTTGCTCAGGCCAATCTACACCCCGTGGCCATTAAAAGTTATCAAAATCATGACGCTGCACCCCAAGGTTTAGGTTCTAGGGGGCGCCAAAGATAACACTAAAATCCACATATTTAAAAGTCTTATAACTTTTTATTTTTGTCCTCACTGGCCACCAAGTTTTCTAGGATGATGCAATGTCCAGCCATCAACACATTTGTGAAGGAATTTTTACTCCCCAAAAGAGCGCCCCCCCATGGCAGGAGAAAAAAGTCCATTTTTTCTTGTCCCCTAAGGTGAAAATACACATTGTTGAGTGTCAAGCCTATACGCTTTGTCAAAATGACACAAAAATTGACACACACATGTAACTCAATAAGATCTACAAAAAAGTCCATGCGCGCGTATCTGTCAAATGTACGGTTAAAGGGTTATTCCGCATTTTTTGCCGATACGCACACATTGGAATTTCGCTAACTCCTCCGAAGGCTTTCGTTCCACCGGCACCACATTTGCTCAGGCCAATCTACACCCCATGGCCATTCAAAGTTGTAAAAATCATGACGCTGCACCCCACGGTTTACGTTCTAGGGGGCGCCAAAGATGACCCAAAAATCCACATTCTTAAAAGTCATTTTGGCCACTGCAGGAGTACAGAGTACTGCAGTTCTAGGGGGCGCCAAAGATGACCCAAAAATCCACATTCTTAAAAGTCATTTTGGCCACTGCAGGAGTACAGAGTACTGCAGGATACACACACATATACACACACGCCAACATACACACACACACACACACACACACACACACACACACACACACACACACACAGACACACACACACACTCAGAGTCTGTTTTTTAGCACCTGCAAAAACATGCTGTTTACATATTTGACAAGAATGCAGAGGCTTCCTTTTGCCCCTGAAAAAAATCAAATTTCAAACACAACTTGACTGTTCATTTCTCCAAAAGACAACCATGAAGCTCCATTTCAAACCTGAAGCAGATAGTTGGTGCATGTGTACAGTAACCTGAGGGGAGTGAGGTGACTATTTCTGAGGAGAACATGAGCAGTGAAGATTCACCTTGGAGCTAGAACAGGGACGTGCACATGATTATACAGGGGCAGGGGCTCAAGTTTTTTCCAGTCATTTATACAATATGGAAATTAATGTGAAATTAAACCACAAATATGTGTGATGAACTGTTTTTAAAACTTAAACTTCAAATAAAAATTGTAAACTTCAAAACATATGCAAATTTTTAACAAAGAACATAGTAATTTACCTCTATTTACATCAAAATGCAGGCAATGGCCCAGGCGTTCTTTGTAAAATTATTTACAAAACACTGTATAGTCTCACAAATGTCACTTTTTATTTATGCCACTACAAAAAAACATGATGTAAATGATGCATGATGTAAAACATGATGTAAAAAACTTGTGTAGATCCTCCTCTATGTCAGTCCATGTGTAATTTTTCCATAATCTTTGTTTTTTGCAGCATTTTTGTTAGTGTAACTGCAGATTGTGCTGACAGTGTCTATGGCAAAAAAAAAAAAAAAAAACTGAAAATGCCTCAACATGAACCCCTGGTGGTCTCTGAGGGTGAAACCTGCTAACTGCTGCAGCTCTGTCAGCTTCAGTCTCCCATGCAGAGCTCGGAGCGCATGTGTAGCTCTTCACCCTTAGCAGCGTTGCTAACTCCTCAGTAAGGAAAGCCTGCTTCATGTCAGAGTCTCTAAACTCCAGAAGAAGTCGATAAAAGTCACTTTCTTTCTAAAAAAAAGTCGTTAGGGGGTCTGAAAAGTCATTGAATCTAACAACAAAGTCGCTAGGTTTGCAACTACGTGTCCCAGACTGCATCCCTGCTGAGAGTCCCTCCCTCCCTTCTCATATTGCAGGAAGAACGTAAGTTCCCGCCCCTTGTCAATCAGTCACCATATAATTTTGGATTGGTTGTTGTGGTGAAGTTTTCCACCAATAGGAGAGATGTTGTGGTGTGTATTTTTTTCCTTTGGCAAGCCTTTTCCGCCTGTAAGACCTGTCGCTAATGTCTGCATGCTATGTTTTCCTGTCTCATACAGCGCGATCGAGCGCCGAACGTGATCAAAATAAGCAGAAAACAAGTATCGCGGACATAATTTATCATAACTCTGGTTTTATTTGGCCTATCAACACAATTTAAAAACTGGTATATAGGTTGAGGTCCTCACTTTTGAGATAAATTGAAACGGAGAGTCAACGAGGCTCCGTCTTGCAGCTACATCCGGTTAAATATGTCATGTGACTTGAACGCACACACACACACACACACACACACAGACACACACACACACGCACACACACACACTCAGAGTCTGGTTTGTAGCACCTGCAAAAACATGCTATTTACATATTTGACAAGAATGCAGAGGCTCCTTTTGCCCCTGAAAAAAATCAAATTTCAAACACAACTTGACTGGTCATTTCTCCAAAAGACAACCATGAAGCTCCATCCAAACCTGAAGCAGGCAGTTGGTGCATGTGTACAGTAACCTGAGGGGAGTGAGGTGACTGCTTCTGAGGAGAACATGAGCAGTGAAGATTTACCTTAGAGCTAGAACAGAGACGTGCACATGATTATACAGGGGCAGGGGCTCAAGTTTTTTCCAGTCGTTTAAACAATTTGGAAATTAATGTGAAATTAAAAAACAAAGTATTAATAGAAAGGTAATGACTGTCCTGTGTAGGTGACAGTGATATCCAATAGGCTAGGCACTCACGAGGCTGGCTGTGGCAAGTGTAAGTGAAAGCAACACGCACTGGCAGGAAGAACAGCAAACGCCGATGAAGGAAAAGGGTCTTTGCAGTGATGGGCGTTACCAAAGAGGGCGATGGCCAGAGGACACAAATGGGACGGGGAGGCAGCGCGTTGGGGGGGGGACATGACACAGCTCGGGCCCGCCAGTGCCCCAACGGGGTCCTAGTTAGGGCCCGAGCGTAGCTGCTAAGCAGCTGCGAGAGCCCTATTATTCCCCAAGTGGTTTTTCTTTGTTTCTTTCTTTCTTTTTTCTTTTTCCTCCCCTTTGAACTGGAAAATGGCCCACTTCCCACTGGCGAAAACTCATGAAATTTGGCAGGACGACCGGGCCTGGTGAAAAATTTGATATTCCGAAGTCGCCCAAACAAGAAAATGCAAAATGGCTCCATAGCGCCCCCTAAGGTGAAAATTCACACTATTCACTGTCACGCCGGTACGCTTTGTCAAAATGACACAAAAATTGACACACACATGTATCTCAATAAGATCTACAAAAAAGTCAGTGCGGGCGTATCTGTCAAATGTACGGTTAAAGGGTTATTTCGCATTTTTTGCCGATCCACACACATCGGAATTTCGCTAACTCCTCCGAAGGCTTTCGTTCCACCGGCACCACATTTGCTCAGGCCAATCTACACCCCATGGCCATTAAAAGTTATTCAAATCATGACGCTGCACCCCACGGTTTAGGTTCTAGGGGGCGCCAAAGATAACCCTAAGATCCACATATTTAAAAGTCTTATAACTTTTTATTTTTGCCCTCACTGGCCTCCAAGTTTTCTCGGATGATGCAATGTCCAGCCATCAACACATTTGTGAAGGAATTTTTACTCCCCAAAAGAGCGCCCCCCATGGCAGGAGAAAAAAGTCCATTTTTTCTTGTCCCCTAAGGTGAAAATACACATTGTTGAGTGTAACACCTGTACGCTTTGGCAAAATGACACAAAAATTGACACACACATGTATCTCAATAAGATCTACGAAAAAGTCAATGCGCGCGTATCTGTCAAATGTACGGTTAAAGGGTTATTCCGCATTTTTTGCCGATCCGCACACATTGGAATTTCGCTAACTCCTCCGAAGGCTTTCGTTCCACCGGCACCACATTTGCTCAGGCCAATCTACACCCCATGGCCATTAAAAGTTATTCAAATCATGACGCTGCACCCCACGGTTTAGGTTCTAGGGGGCGCCAAAGATAACCCTAAGATCCACATATTTAAAAGTCTTATAACTTTTTATTTTTGCCCTCACTGGCCTCCAAGTTTTCTCGGATGATGCAATGTCCAGCCATCAACACATTTGTGAAGGAATTTTTACTCCCCAAAAGAGCGCCCCCCCATGGCAGGAGAAAAAAGTCCATTTTTTCTTGTCCACTAAGGTGAAAATACACATTGTTGAGTGCTACGCCTGTATGTTTTGTCGTATTGACACAAAATTTTACATACACGTGTATTTACATAAGATCTTCGAAAAAGTCAATGGCCACGTATCTGTAAAATGTACGGTTAAAGGGTTATTTCGCATTTTTTGCAGATTCGCACACATTGGAATTTCGCTAATTCCTCCAAAGGCTTTCGTTCCACCGGCACCACATTTGCTCAGGCCAATCTACACCCCATCGCCATTAAAAGTTATTCAAATCATGACGCTGCACCCCACGGTTTAGGTTCTAGGGGGCGCCAAATATAACCCTAAAATCCACATATTTAAAAGTCATAACTTTTTATTTTTGTCCTCACTGGCCTCCATGTTTTCTAGGATGATGCAATGTCCAGCCATCAACACATTTGTGAAGGAGTTTTTTCTCTTTAAAAGAGCGCCCCCCCATGGCAGGAGAATAAAGTCAAGTTTTTCCTGTTCATCATTCAATGGCTCAAACGCACTGCTCTCTCGGCAAAAGCGAAAGGAGGAGCAACTTGCCATTTGGATATATCTTAGCTGTGTTTGTGCCCTCACTCATGGTCCAGACTTTTTTCAAATAGGACATGGAGTTTTTCTGCAGCGAGCGTTTTGGTAGAAACTGCGCCTCCCGTTCATTATAATGGTAAATGACCACAAACAAGTGCGCACACCATCTTTGGACCTTGAGTGTGACGCGATCGGGTGGGGGAGGCGGTCGCGCTGGGGGCGGCGTGACACGGCTCGGGCCCGCCAGTGCCCCAACGGGGCCCTAGTTCTTTCTTTCTTTCTTCTTTTTCCTCCCCTTTGAACTGGAAAATGGCCCACTTCCCACTGGCGAAAACTCATGAAATTTGGCAGGACGACCGGGCCTGGTGAAAAA